TCCAGTCTCTTCCTGAAAGTCTCCAGTGATGGAACACCCTCAACTTCTGAAGGCAAGCCCTTGCACTGATTGATTGTTTTCACCATCAGGAAATTTCTCCTTAGTTCTTAGGTTGCTTCTCTCCTTGATTTAGTTTCCATCCACTGTTTCTTGTCCTGCCTTTGGTGCTTTGGAAAATAGCTTGACTCCCTCTTCTTTGTGGCAGCCCCTCAGATACTGGAACAGTGCTATCATGTCCCCCCTCGTCCTTCTCTTCACTAGACTAGACAGCTCTTGATTTGGAAACTCTTTTTAAGCAGTATATAAGCGACTTCTCACGGCACAACACGCGGGAACTTGTAAGAGATTCATCTGCATGTATTTTGCATATGCTTCAACAAAGTATTTGCATCTATCTTGCTAACAGTTCTATCCCACATCCCCCTCCCCAACTTGCTACACAACAGTTCAGGACTTTTTCTTCTCCCCATCACTTCTCCTCTGCAGTGTATAAGGGCTGAGCAAATCATGACAACACCCAAGAGCCAGGCGAGGATTCAAACCCACTTCACACCTGATGTCACTCTACTCCAAATTGAGTGGCAGTAAGACCGATACTTCCTCCATCTTCCGAATAGGAAAATACCCCGGTGCCCACATTTCTAAGCTAGACAAACTTATTTCTTGGCTCACAGAAAAGGTCACTTGGAGCCTAGAATTCCCTTCCAGCATATTGCATCAGATTCAGCAAAGTATAAAGCTTTGCATCCTGAAAAATGCCCTTTAACCTTTGGAAAGAACATGCCTTTTTGGCAACAGCTGAATATGCCCCCAAAGGAGACGCAGCCCAAAACCACAAAGACTCTCAATCGTTCACAAAAAACGTTGCCTTCCAGGGCAAATGGTTCTACCAAAAGCATTTATTGATTTCTAACTACTTAGGAAGATGTAGGTTTATCATGCAATTGGACGTTCAGATGTATTTGTATGTTGGGGTCCCACAGGCGTAAACCTGAACAGGGGATATTTTTTCCCCTCTGAATTTCTCACCAACTAACTTCAGAAATGTCACTTTTAAGCCATCCCATGATTCGGTTTTGGCTTCTCGTATATTCTCGACTGCGGATTGTAAAAAACACGGCTTACGGCTTAGCAAATCTTGCAAACGCAGCTCATTGTGACTGGCTCAGCTCGTTCAATACTGGTCGTGCAGCCCAGCTTCATTGGAAAATACAAGCCAGGGCTGGAAAAGTGAAAACTGGGATGACCTGCCTGTATTCACACATGCAGGGCGAAAACCACCTTCTCTATCTTGCTGGAGGGCAAATACACCCCATACAGGGAGTCCTCCACTTACAGAAACACATTTAGTGACCGTTCGAAGTTACAACAGCACTGAAAAAAGGGACTAATGACCATTTTGCACACTTACAACCAGTGCAGCATCCCCCGTGGACACGTGGTCAAAATTCGGACGCTCGGCAACTGACTCACATGGAGGATGGTTGCAGTGTCCCGGGGTCAGGTGATCCCCTTTTGCGACCTTCTGACAAAGTAAATGGGGTAGCCGGATTCACTTAACAATCACGATACTATCTTACACAACTGCAAGTGTTTCACTTAACAACTATGGCAAGAAAGGTTGTAACATGGGGCAAAACTCACCTAACCAATGTCTCGCTTAGCGACAGAAATGTTGGGTTCAAATTGTGGTCATAAGTTGAGGACCACCTGTACTTCCATGCAGAGAATTGCAGCGGTGGGCGGAGGGGGGGCTGGAATTTCTTCCAGAGGGAGAAAATATTCTGCAAATTCTTTGCCTTACAGAAAAGAGGCTGGTGTACCAAACTATCTCTAGGAGGGAGCTAGCTGTAAGGCAACAGATGCCTGAATAAAATCTCCGAGTCGGAAACTCGCTGGGTGGCCTCATGCTTTGCTCGGAGTCAGGCGAGATACAATGCGCACATAACAACAGTGTGTGTGTGTGTGTGTGTGTGTGTGTGTGTGTGTGTGTGTGTGTGTGTATGTATGCTTTATGGCAATATTGGCTGGGTTCAGACAAGACGCCAAGTCGTGGCAGGTTTGAAGTGCAGTGTGCAAGCGAGCCGTATGGCTGCCTTGGCACATAATGCTCCATAAACAGAGCATTAAAAACCACCAGAGCTGGAGTCATGCACAGGCTTGTTTGAGACCAAAGAAACCGAGGGTAGTGGACAGAGATACAGTAATCCCATGATCTGTCCTATCAAACAGAATTCTTTTAAACTTCCAGTTTGTTTTGTTTATGTAACTGCCCATCTACATATGTGGCTCTGAGCAGTCCATAAAGTTTTAAACTAAAAACAAAACACATAAATAAGAACAAAAAAACCCAACAGTAGCAAAATAAATTAATAAAATAAATGGTAGTAAAAAATAAATTAAAGCAATTAAAAAAAACCTGACCACACACACTGCACCCTAGGGAAAACAGGTGGCATGCCCCCTATCTATTTACTCATTCTGAATCTGCTCTGTGCTAAGGGGTTTCTAGGTGGCTTAAAAATAATTCATTTTCAAAGAACATTAAAACAGTAAAATACATCAGCTGGGGGGACAGGGAAAAAACCAGCTGTAACAGCCATTATTTCTATCCAAGTCGAGCAGTTTAGTTTCTTTACGGGTTTCAAAAAGTTGTTTCAAAAAAGTGTTGTTAACGAAAGCCTCTGACTTTTTAATTTTAACTGTATTTAAGTGACAGCAGCCTGAGAAAGAAAAAGCACGGGGTGTGTCGTATTGCACTGTACCAAAATGACAGTTCTTCTAACTATCCCATTCATTTATTAGGGATAGTTTCAGCTCATCATTATTTTTCTAAACCCGTACTCATTTTCTCAAGAGTGCCAGGAAAAAGGATGAGCTTCTAAAAAACTTATATATAATAGAAGTACATATAAAGCAAATATAAACACCCCCGTGTTTTCATAGGTCAGCCAGTATGCTATGCCTGCAAAGTACAAAGCAGGGAATATTAAGCTTTTCTATTCTTCCCTACACAGCTCTGTTCCAATGTGCTACTTAAAATCTCGACAGGGCTTCCCTGTAACTCAAGAGCAATGAAAGTTTGCAGCAAACCTTGGGAGCCAAGCTAATAGAAAATTCCAGAGGGGCAGCTGCGCTCCAGCAAAACAAAGAAAGTCTTGTGGCACCTGGAAAAAAAAATTGAAGCCAGGCGTCAGCTTCTGGGGGCATCGAGGTCTAGTCCACGCAAACTTTTGCCACAATAAATAGGTTGGACTTTTAAAGTATCCTTTTTCTCTAAGTAAAACTGACAACCGTTTTGATTTTTTTTCCACAGGCAACAAGAGTTGTTTTAAAAAGTGATCTTATGGAGAAGTGTGAGCCAGGAAAGCTCAAATGATCATAAAATCGTTAGTCTCTAGGGCGCCACAAACCGATTTAAGCGGGTGCTTTAATTCCTTCGACCAAGAACATAGTTTGTTACATCCCTTTCATACAATGCGATACACCTTGTGACGTGGGTCCCTTTTGAGGGGTTCGGGCTCCTCTTCCCCATAAAAGAAAACTGGTGTTTATTCACACTGTCACTTGATTGGAAAACAAGCTGGGAAGAGACGGGAACCAGGTTCCAAACTGACCCGAACCCTTGTGACAATGACCAATATCTCACCACCCAGAGCTTAAAAGTGAGATACTGAAATATTCCAGGAATTTGGCACTACGGTGATGCTTTATAAGGCTAAAAGGAGAAAGGAAAGTAAGAGCCCTTTCCAGAAGCCTCTCTCCTAGTTTGTTTTATAATGCACCATGTTTCCAGCTTTGGAACATCAGTGGCCATTCAAGCCAGTTGCTTGAACCAGGGCTAGGAAAAGCCACCTTTTAACAGGTAGACCCCAGCAGCCTCAAAGGCTCAGATCAGGGTGGGTGGGAGGGAGGGAGGGGGGGCTTAAAGTAAATCCCTTTGAACTTCCAGGAATGTCCCTGATGTGACCCTTAATTTCCTTCCAGCTGTCCTTCATTACCCTGGCTGCACTTTTGATTCCCTCCATGTGTTCCTTAACTTCAGGATTTATCCCTCAAAGAGCAAATGGGGAGGGGGGGTGTTCTCAGAGGCTCTATCAGGCCCCCCACAGTAGCCCCGAAAAGCCAGAGCACGTCCAGGCTTGGATGTTGTAAGCCAATGTTTGGAAACACCTCCCTCAGAGCCAGGTTTTGCATTCACACGTATCATCGCCCCGTTCCAGTCTGATCCCTTCCCGAACACGGGTGTCCGCTGAAAATGAGGGAGCTCCTAATTTTTCAGCCCTTCCAAGGCGCAGCTCCCCTCTTTCATCAAACCGACACCCCAACAGGACAGGAATGGCCTGCAGACAGAAACCGACGAAAGTCGAATCGGTTTTCAAGGCGGCTTAGTCAGGAAAAAGGTCCGAACACGCCCAGGTCGGTCGGTCGGTCGGTCCAAACGCCGCATCTGAGCGGCCGCTCCGCCACTTCTTCCGCTTACTGAGACCCACCACCCATCCCGGGCTTAAAAACCTCCCGGGCCAGCCCGACACACGCCTTTCCCGACAACCGGAGGATGGAGCTCCCACCGTCCACAGCCGGCCATACATACTCCCGGCCCGCTCGCTGGCAACGACGCTGAGAAATCGGTCCAAAGGCAGCCCGGTCGCTTAGCTCCGATTCGCAAAGCTGGCAGCTTCGGACGGAGAAAGTCCCCCCAGACAGCGGCGGGAGGACCAGCACCCAGCCGGGCCGACCGCAAGCCCTCGGGGGCTCCGGCGCCCCAAACGCAACCGGCCGTTGGATTCCCCCGAGTGGGAGAAGGCGTCGTCTGCACCGCGCACCGAATCACAAGCCTGGGAAGAGGGGAGACCGCGGGGGAGATCGACCGATCGATCGACCGACCGAGGTGAGACGATGACGACGCCCCCCCCTCTCTCCCGGGCCCTGCCGCTCCCCCCCCCCGGCCCGCCGCCGCCGCTGCTCCCCGCCCGGGCCCGCCGCCGCCGCGCACTCACCGCCAGAGCTTGCCCAGCGTCTTGCTGAGCTCAGCGTTGTGCAGGTGCGGGTACTGGTCGGCCAGCTTCCTGCGCGCCGCCTGCGCCCAGACCATGAAGGCGTTCATGGGCCGCTTGACGTGCGGCTTGGCCTTCAGCGCCCCGTGGCCCCGCACCGGCATGGGCACCAGGCTCCAGTCGTAGCCCTTCAGCACCTGCGAGACGGCGTCCCGGATGCAGGCGGGGAAGCGCTCGTCCGCCTCCCCCGCCTCGCCCTTGGACGAGCGCGGCGCCGAGCCAGGCGGCGGCGGCGGCGGCGTCGGACCCTCCGAGCCGGCCGGAGAGCAGGGCGCGTCCGAGTCCGAGTCCACGTGCGAGAGGGAGCTGGCCGTGCCGGCCGGGCTGCCCGGCGCCTCCGGGGCTTTGGCCTGCTCCTCGCTCATGTTGAGCATCGGCGGCGCGGGTCGGGCCGGGCCGGGCGAGCGGGGGACNCGGCGCGCCCGGAGCTCCGGACTCAGCCGCCGGCTGGGCTCCTTCTCCCGCTGCCCGGCTCCGGCTCCCTCCGCCGCCGCCGCCGCCGCCTCTGCCGTGCGCCCAGGCGAAGCGGAGCGCCCGACCTGCCCGACGGCGCCGCTTGATCCAAACGCTTCGACCCGGCGCGGCCAGCGACTTTCTTCCCCGGCGGGGCGAGCCGGCTCCGCCTCTTCCCTCGTTCCCATTGGCCGGCCGAGAACGGGCTACTCTGCATAAAAGGCGGGGCTTCGGCTCTCCCCGGGTTCTTAAAGCGACCCAGGAATGAAAACTAAAATGAAATGAAAAACGGAGGGAGGGAAAGTTGACAGACGGTTTGTTTGCAGTTTGGCTGCGTGGAAAAATTGGGGGTGGGAGAAACTGCGAATGTAAAATTTGGGAGTGCGGTATAAAATAGTAGTTACTTGGGTATAAAATATAAAGTACGGTATAAAATAGTAGTTACTTGGGTATAAAATATAAAGTACGGTATAAAATAGTAGTTACTTGGGGAGTAAATGTACTAGCTAGCTCTTCCCAACATTGTGCTGTCCGGACGTGCTGGATCAACACGCGTTCTTCCGTGGAGCCTGGGCTCTGTAGTTCAAGGCATCCCGAAGCGCTTCGGTTAAAAGAGCTTTGCTAGATGGGGCTGGGCTCCAGAAGTCTCCCTAATGCGGCGCGGGTGGGCCGAACAAATTATGCCCAGGTTTGCTTCGGACCTCTGGAATTGGACCTGGATTGGCCTGAATGTGGAGGGTGGGTAATGGGACAGAAGGGCGCGTCTGATTAATCCACGCAAATCAGCAGGAAAGCCCCAACCCTCCTCACCCCTCCCAGGGTCCAGTGGGGTCCCCCCGAGTCGCTTCAGCGCCCGGCCATCGCCCTTCCCTGGAGACTCTCCCCTTCCCTGGCCGAGCAGGAACTAATCTCTGCAAATGATCACTACTTTCCTGCCGCTGTGAAATTAGAGAAAGTAGACCAACTCGGCCCGCAGCAATTTGGATCCAAGTAAAGGCCGGGAAGGTGATTACGGCACTGAGTAACCGAAGGGTAATTACGTTTACCTCGTCGAGGCTCTATTCCCACGACACGCTGACTCCCGCTTAAGTGCACTTGGCTGGCTGCGCTTTCCCAAGTTCCTGGGTTCGCGCAACCCGCTGAATCATAAAACTCTTCACTTTAGCCCAGTGGTTCTCAACCTTTTTAATGCCGCGACCCCAACCGGTCGTAAGTCAAGGACTAAACCAGTCGTAAGTTGAGGACTACCCAACCGGTCGTAAGTCGAGGACTTTCCCTGCCCGGGAGCGCCGCGCATGCATGGTTCCGCCCCCTGCGCTGGCCGAAGCGTAGCTGGCAAGCGGCAGAGACAGAGCAGGCTGACCACCAGCTGGCCCAGCCCAAGGGAGGTAAGGCACCCGCTGGAAATGGGGGGAAAAATGGACAAAAAAATGGACAAAAAAATGGCGGACAGCCTTGCTTGGCGACCCCCATGAAATGGTCGATCGACCCCAAACGGGGTCCCGACCCACAGGTTGAGAACCACTGCTTTAGCCCAGGGGTAGTCAACCTTGGCTCTTTTATGACTCGTGGACTTCAACTCCCAGAATTCCTGAGCCAGCTTAGCTGGCTCAGGAATTCTGGGAGTTGAAGTCCACGAGTCATAAAAGAGCCAAGGTTGACTACCCCTGCTTTAGCGGAAGCTGTGGCTAGCAGAAGCCAGTGATCTCCGGCTGGGTCCATCGGAGTTTGGCTGGGCTCAGCCACAACGAGGGATTCAGAACCTCGCCCTTCTTCTGCTGCACGCTTACCCACGCTTAACCAAGTTAACCACGATTAACCAAGTTAGTCGTTTGTTTGGATTCGCAGGCTATCCACCCCCTTGACTAAACAGTCTCCAGCCAAAGCTAAGGAGTAACTAGCTAGTGCCCGCTTGGGATGCTGTGGGAACGCAGCCTTTCTACGGTTTCTTTGCGAGGGCAAGGAGATCTGGTTTGGCAGGCTGATTTTCACAGAGGCCTCGGACTGGGACCTTGTTCAGTCCAAAGTGGTTGCGCTCCAGGTTCACTCTGGAATAGCTGCGCTCGCCCACCGACCGGCTGCACCAGCCCCGCTCCTGGGCAAAGGCGGCGAAGCCAAAGCGGGAGGCGCAGAGCTCCTCTTTCAGCCGCAGATTCGGTTTCGGAGCTTGATTTAAAACAGTGGTTCTCAACCTTTTTAATGCCGCGACCCCAACCGGTCGTAAGTCGAGGACTAAACCGGTCGTAAGTCGAGGACTAAACCGGTCGTAAGTTGAGGACTAAACTGGTCGTAAGTCGAGGACTACCCAACCGGTCGTAAGTCGAGGACTTTCCCTGCCCGGGAGCGCCGCGCATGCGTGGTTCCGCCCCCTGCGCCGGCCGAGGCGTAGCTGGCAAGCGGCAGAGACGGAGCAGGCCGACCACCAGCTGGCCCAGCCCAAGGGAGGTAAGGCACCTGCCGGAAAAGGGGGAAAAAATGGCGGACAAAAAAAATGGCGGACAGCCTTGCTTGGCAACCCCCATGAAATGGTCGATCGACCCCAAATGGGGTCCCGACCCACAGGTTGAGAACTACTGATTTAAAACGTTCCAGGAAGCTGGAGGGGGAAACCCTGGTGTGAAATCCTCTTTTCATCTCATCCTCCTACCATCGGGTAGGAGATACAGAAACATAGCCAGCCGTACCAACAGGCTGTGAAGAACAGCTTTTATCCATGGGCTGTGGGGCTTCTGAATGGGACATAACTTTACGCATGACAGACTGGCGAGGCCGGCGTGATGTGCAATTAGCTCACAGGGTGTAATAAGTTGGGGGGTTTGTAGTCAATGTGAGTTATGGTTACGGAGGGAAGCTTAGCCAATTTCACTGTATACATGTTATACTTTGATAGTAAAGGTTCATTCATTCATTCATTCATTCTCCCTCGGAGCCGCTCAAGTCATTTTCTGCCCCCAAAGGCTGTGGGGTCTGTAAGCCAAGGGCCTGCGCCTCTTTGGTGGCAGAAATGGAGCTGCGCCCGAGTGGGGCAGTCTACCTCTAAGGAAGGCTAGTTTAAGGGCTTCGAGAGATTCTTACATCTTAGGCCAGTGGTGGCGAACCTATGGCATATGTGCCAGCGGCAGCACTCAGAGCCCTCTCTGTGGGCACACGTGCCATGCCCCGGAGATGGCAACCGTCCCTCTTCAACCAGCCGCCTGCTAACTCACCGAGGTCCCACATGGCCGGATGCACCCCAGCACCCATGTGCTCGCTGGCCTCTGTGTGCAGGGGCTGATGGTATTAGGCAGCAGCCGCCCCGGCCCGCCTCACCTTGCCCTGTGACAATGGCACCCCCGCCCTGCCTCACCTTGCCTCGCCTCACCCCGCAGGACAAGCCTCCTGCCCACCGCCCCACCCACCAGAGACCTCCTGGATCTCCCCCAACCCTGCCCGGCCCCCACAGGCATCCCTCCCCACGAGCAACATCGAGGTGATCACGTCCACCTTGGCCACACCCACCCCTTTTCCGGCGGGTGCCTTACCTCCCTTGAGCTGGGCCAGCTGGTGGTCGGCCTGCTCCGTCTCTGCCACTTGCCAGCTACGCCTCGGCCAGCGCAGGGGGTGGAACCACACATGCGCGGCGCTCCCGGGCAGGGAAAGTCCTCGACTTACGACCGGTTGGGTAGTCCTCGACTTACGACCGGTTTAGTCCTTGACTTACGACCGGTTTAGTCCTCGACTTACGACCAGTTGGGGTCGCGGCATTAAAAAGGTTGAGAACCACTGTGTTATACTTTGATAATAAAGGTTCATTCATTCATTCATTCTCCCTTGGAGCCGCTCAAGTCATTTTCTGCCCCCAAAGGCTGTGGGGTCTGTAAGCCAAGGGCCTGCGCCTCTTTGGTGGGAGAAATGGAGCTGCGCCCGAGTGGGGCAGTCTACCTCTAAGGAAGGCTAGTTTAAGGGCTTCGAGAGATTCTTACATCTTAGGCCAGTGGGGGCGAACCTATGGCATATGTGCCAGAGGCAGCACTCAGAGCCCTCTCTGTGGGCACACGTGGCATGCCCCGGAGATGGCAACCGTCCCTCTTCAACCAGCCGCCTGCTAACTCGCCGAGGTCCCACATGGCCGGATGCATCCCAGCACCCATGTGCTCGCTGGCCTCTGTGTGCAGGGGATGATGGTATTAGGCAGCAGCCGCCCCGGCCCGCCTCACCTTGCCCTGTGACAATGGCACCCCCGCCCTGCCTCACCTTGCCTCGCCTCACCCCGCAGGACAAGCCTCCTGCCCACTGCCCCACCTGCCAGAGACCCCCTGGATCTCCCCCAACCCTGCCCGGCCCCCACAGGCGACCCTCCCCACGAGCAACATCGAGGTGATCACGCCCACCTTGGCCACACCCACCCAACCTGCCATGATCACAACAGCCACGCCCACCCAGTGGGCCACGCCCACCTGGCACCCAGCGATAAATAAGTGGGTTTTGGGTTGCAGTTTGGGCACTCGGTCTCTAAAAGGTTCGCCATCCCTGTCTTAGGCCACACGATTAAACCATAGCCTGTTGCGCACGACCCAGCCCGTTTGGATTGAGTCTAAAAAGAACTGCGGTTAAGCAGACCACACACCTAAGCGCAGAGCCAGGCCGGTTGAAGGTGGGGGTGGGGGGGGTTCCAGATTCGGGCGGGGGGGAGGTGGGAGTGGGCAAAGTCAGCTTCTGCCCTCAGGCGTCATCAGCCCAAAGACAGGGGAAGGGGGGTCTTTGGGGGCAGAGATCACAACTGGGGAGGGGGCAGCAAAGGCAGAGCTCAACCTGCGATCTGTTCCCACTTCTGCAGAAGCTGCGCCGGGCATGCAGCTGCGTTGGCTCGCCTTACCAAGCCACCATCTATTAAACAGGCCTCCCATGCCACAAGGTCCATTTTTGCCTCGGTGGCACCAAG